TTTTTTAGTTGTAGATGGACACAATATCTTTATTTATTTATTTTTATGTGGTGCTGAGGATGGAACCCAGTGCCTCACACATGTGAGGCAGGTGCTCTACCCCTGAGCTACAGCCCCAGCACCCACCTACACCTCCTTTTTTTTTTTTTTAACCTGTGTATCTTTTCCATTGACTGTTCCTGAGTTGTATCCTTTACAAGCTGACAAGTGTTTAGGTAGTTTTTTCCTGAGATCTGTGAGCCTTTCTAGAAAATTATGGAATGACAAAAGGGAGTTGTGGGAACTTCCAACTCATAGGCATTTGGTCAGAATTATGAGACTTGGTACCAACATCTGAAGGGGGATGCAATTTTGTGGGACTGAACCTTTAAACTGGGGTTCTGTGCAAACTCCAGATAGTTAGTGTCAAAATTTAATTTTGAATTGTTGGACACTCACCTGGTGTCAGAGAACTGGTCAGTGTCAGGAAAAACCCCAGAGGACTCAACAGTTCACTTGCTGGTAGTAGGACACAGGTCATCCTGCAGGAATTAGAGTTATGCTCTAAGAAGGCGTTTTCCCTGGAACTTTTGCAGGATATGAGAAGACTATTCCTGGAAAGGATGGCTAAACCTGAACCCAGAAATAAGACCTAATGCTTATTGAGTATTCCCTATGTCCCTGGCCTGTGCTGAGCCTTTTAACTGCATGGCCTCATTTGATTCTTGCAATGTCCTTGTCATATAATACAGATGAAGTGGCTGGTGAAAGCCAGTAGAACTGGTTGTGGGAGGAGACCAGACATTCCTTACTATGGGAAAATTGGCATGTGTATCCTAACACAGTGGGCTGAATTGGGGGAGAGCTGACGCAGCCCGTCTGCTGATGAGAGCTTTTCCACTGGTGTTGGGCAAGGAGATTCTAACTCTATTTGGCCTGTTCCCTACAAGATTTCTTGAATGCTACTAGTCACAGGACGGCAGAGTTGATGAGACCTGGGCTGCTATTCCACTGAGGCCCTTCACCTCTCTGTTGGATCTGTGGATCAGCAGGAACTCTCTGTCTCTCCTATTCCTGGACCTGGCTTGTGTCCTTACAGATTTCTTGGTTTCATTCACTCATGAACTGAATGCCCACCTCAGGCCAGATTTGGGACATGTCTAGATGGAAATATCTGGTCATTGCTCTCATGTAACTTACAATCCAAGGGGAAGACATTAAAAAAAAAAAAAGCCATAATGTTACAAAACAAGAATTGTTTTAATGGTAGCCTGTACAGACTAAAGTGGGAACATTGGAGAATACCCAAATCTTGTCAGAGGAATTAGAAAAGAGGAGAATGTGTAGGGAAAACCTCATTGTCACTACAGGAAAATATCTCTGAGTACATCCACAATGATAGGAGTCTCATTTCACATATAGGTTCAGGTTTTAAGATGAGATGCTGGGAATGAAAGAAGCAAAATAAGCCAAGTGGTCAGGGCCACATTTTGAAGCAAAGCCCCAGTGTGAATTGACATGTTTTTTCCCTTTTAGAGTAATCCAGGAAGATGATGGACATAGGGTAATCAGCACAACTTAATGTTATTTTTTACAGACTCGACTCTTAGTTACACATAGCATTCACTTTCTTCCCCAAGTGGATCAGATTGTGGTTGTGGGAAATGGCACCATCTTGGAGAAAGGAACCTATAGTGACCTGCTGGCCAAGAAAGGAGTGTTTGCTAAGAATCTGAAGACTTTTGTAAAATATTCGGGTCCTGAAGGGGAGGTCACAGGTATGCAAGGAGGATTGGAACAGGATGGAACTTGGGGCCGGGGTGGAAATGGTAAAACAATATCTACTTCACAAATTGTTTAGTATACAATGAACTGCACTTGGAATTGAATTACTCAGAGATTCAGACTCTGTTCTTCAGTGTTCTGGGTAAAGAAACATAGACATTGAAATTCTGTGCCTAGGCCAAATGGGCAGCTCATCTTGCTCATCTCTCTCTGACACACAATCAAAGGACACTCTTTAAAGGGTACAACTGAAGGTTTGGGTAAGTAACCCTTGTGAAAAGAATACCAGTGGCACAAGGAACTCACTCTCTTTTAGGGATGCTATGCTTCTGTTGATTCAAGTGACACATACCATTCCAACTACCCCCAAATTCAATTAAAATCGGTTCCTGGACAACCTCATAAGCTGGTGCTAATAGTGTGATATCAAACTCTTGGTAAGCTTTAACAAAGGAACCTTGATTAATATACCAAAAACACTGGGTTTTGAATCATAAAAAATAGTGTCAGTTATATAGAGTCACAGCATTCCATGGGAACAGCCCCTGATATCACTACCATTTGGTTTATTGTTTAGCTCCCATCAACAGTGGAGCCCTCTTTACTAGCATGTTATTGTTTTCGTTTTGAGACTTGGGACTTAGTGGCATGAAGGGAGGGTAAGTTGAGCTATATTAATATTTGTTCTGTGACTTAGCTTCCCAGTTAACCACTGTAACAAAATACCACAAGTCTGGATGACTTAAACGAAATAGATGATTGCTATGAGGATGAGCTCAGTAGTTAAGTGGCCCTGGATTCAATCCTCAGGAGAGAGAGAGAGAGAGAGAGAGAGAGAGAGAGAGAGAGAGAGAGAG